TCGACTCGGCCACCAAGGCCTCCCCCATGCATGGGTTCGGGTTCGGGTTGCCCACGAGTAGGGCGTACGCCGAATACCTGGGCGGCCGACTGTCTATCGAGTCCATGCAGGGCATCGGTACGGATGTATACCTCAGGCTCCGGCACATCGACGGCAAACAGGAGTCGTTTAGGATTTAATAATTATTATTTTGATGTTTTAATTATTTGTATAATTTATATAAAGGTTATAGTGAGCACTCGGTTATGATGTATGAAATTAGTAATAGGTTTGGTAGGAAAGGGATGAGAGATTGTGTATGAGATAGGAGTTATGAATGAGATTATTGTAATCTAATTGTGTGTATAATTATTTACACATTTTTTACATGCTTTTCTATAACCAAATTTTATTGTATTTATATTATATTAGGTTTAAATTTTTATTTTATAATGCATATTAGGTATTTTCTCATTTATTAAATGTTATAATTAATTGTTTGTTTTGTGTGTGAATACCTGTATACCTAATTTGTAGTCCAAACTCGCAAAACTATATATACCTGAATAAGTGTTTAAGCAAACATACCCTTATTGGACGCACACTACTATTTGTCAGATATTTTGCCTACTTTTTATAATTGTTTTATTAATTATGTATAATTGTTTTNTGTGAATACCTGTATACCTAATTTGTAGTCCAAACTCGCAAAACTATATATACCTGAATAAGTGTTTAAGCAAACATACCCTTATTGGACGCACACTACTATTTGTCAGATATTTTGCCTACTTTTTATAATTGTTTTATTAATTATGTATAATTGTTTTTATCCAATTATATTAATTATAAATATCAGTCAATAACTAATTGTAATATTATATTGTATGTAGTTTATTTGTGTGCGTTTATTAATGTGTACTGTATATTTGTATTGCATTTTTGTAAACTTTTTTATTGTATGTTTAGGAATTATATTAAGTATTTAATGAATATTACTTTATACCTAAAAACATATATACCTGTGATATGTAGTCCTTATAATTAAAAATATTGATAATATTACATTTTAAGTACTTTCCTAAACACATTTTGTACACTTTTCAAATATATATTGTGCTCGATATTAATTTATAAATCAATTATAAATGATAATCTTAATTATTATTATAGGGTAACTATACAATAGACAAGTATACATTTGTCAAACGAGCTTTTCTAGTATTTTTAATTATATAATTATTATTTAGGCTTATTGTATCAATTAATCAATCATATACTATATTAGTAATTAATTAATTAATCAAATAAAATAATTCAAAAATCCATGAATTAGTTAATTAATAATTGGTTGAGAGAGAGAGAGAGAGAGAGAGAGAGTTAAATGTTAAATAAATTAAATTTATTTATATAAAATACAAGATTAAAATTAAATTTAACATTAACATTAAAAGTACAATAAATAAAAACATTAATTAGCAATCTACATTATTAAATAGCTATTCCTCCATCTGACCAAATCCTCCATGTCCTCCAAAATGATGCCCTCCATGTCCGCCCATGTGATGACCAAATCCGTGTCCACCGCCCATATGGTGTCCCCTGTGATGCCCTCCGTGTCCTCCCATATGATGTCCAAAATGGTGACCTCCGTGTCCACCCATGTGGTGGTGAATAAGCGCATCAATTGCGAAGTGTTGTGAAGCCAACCGGTGCACCAAATGCATGAACTGTGCCATACGGTGGTGACCCTCGTGTCCACCCATATGGTGTCCAAACCCACGTGCACCCATATGGTGCCCAAAGTGGTGACCTCCATGTCCGCCCATATGGTGTCCAAAATGATGACCTCTGGGACCGCCCATATGGTGTCCAAAATGATGGCCTCCGGGACCGCCCATATGGTGTCCTAAATGATGGCCTCCATGTCCGCCCATATGGTGATGAAGTCTGGGACCCCACCCATCATCGTGCCGGTGGTGTCCTTCATGGGGGCCCTCCTCTTCAGGGCCTTCCTGTGCCGTAACCACTATTATAGCCAAACATTGTATGGACACTAATAATAGGAATTTATTCATAACTTTATGAAAGTTATAATAATATTTTCGGGTCTTTTGGGACCTATTCTGGAGCTATACTTAAATTAATTATTTGATATACGTATCGCTATGTATAGTATATAAGCAAAGCTGGTTTTTAGGCATTACTTAATTAATTTAGGTTTACATACACTTAATTTGTTGTTGAGTTTACGGCACGTGGCGTTTAAAATTGGAGTGCCGTAAGGGACTGATGGGTATCGTCGGTATACTCTTTAAGATTAAAAGTTTTCATTTTAATCTTTCATCTAGGTTTGGTATTTTAGATTAGTTTTGATTAGTTTTGTTATTTACTCGTTAGTAAGAAATATTTATTGTTTTCAATTCATGGCAAACTTAACAGTATTGATAAAACTGTTTTTATAATTAATTTACATTATTTTATTAAATATTGTAAATGAAACTTTAAAATATCATTTCAATTCATTTATAGCCCGCTCCATGGTAAGTAATATAACAGTAAATGAGATAGTTGTTATTACAGAGTATTAATGATCACTTTGTTATGATAATAGATCCAGTGATAAAAGGTCTTGATGAGTTGGGAAAGAGTTTGGGTCTTAGAAAATATACTAGCTGGATACTACTGTAGTTAGTTTTTGCTAAAATTAGCAAGTTCTTGATATAATATTAACTTTTTAAAATAGCCAATAAGATGAAAAATAAAAATAAATTTTTATATAATATGTTCAGTGTAATTATTGAATATTCCTTCATTATTATTTATTTGTAGTTACAATTAATAATAATAATAATTAGTATCTTAAAAATAATTTCTTATATTGACATTTTTAGTGCTATACACTTGTTAAAACCTAGATGCATTAGCACAGATCATACTTTAAAGGTTATCTTGTTCTTACAAACTGATGCTACTAACTCACAATTATTAAATTATTAATTGATTATTACATTTAATAATTATACAGAAAAACTCATCTTGCCAATTAATAAATTATAAGATTACAATTGCTTTATCTACAGTCTACAGTATTAATAATTTAAAAGTTAAAAAATAACTAAATAATATAATTAAATATTAAGTGTACTTTTATTATTATGTTGCACATTTAAATATGATAGGATACTAATATGTTAGTATACTTGTTATAAAATTAAGGTACAGTACAATAAAATCAATTTCAATTAAACTATAACAAATACGCCCAAAACATGAGTACATTTTATATTGATATAAACCTACATGAATACTTACATCAAATTGTGAAAGTAAAATATTCAATAAAATAGCACACAACACACTAAGATATACTAAATAACATGACCTGGATATAATGGACATATCGGCCAACTTTAAGTGTGTAATCCATTTCGCGCTCGACTTGAGTCCAACACAATTTGACTTTGATTTTGATGCCAAAAGTAATTTCACGTTTACCTGGTTTGGCATTGTATGCTAGATATTATATTAGATTACCAAGTTGAAAATCATTAATCAAGTATGTTTCACTTTAATTAGCTGGACACTTCGGACAAAAAATGGCTATGTTCAACACATTTGTTTATCATCAGGGAACTGGTTAGACGCACGCAATACCAGTAACACCTTGCTAACTTTATTTATTATAAATTAAAAATTGTATCTCAAGCTTATTGATAAACTATTTTTGGTAATTTACCAGGGCTATACCAATACCTATAAACTCTAGTCGCATACTACGATTGCCTGGCTATGACTACACGGCTGAACCGTATCTCAGCTACATTTATAACCGGGTAATTATTTTAAAATAATTCACCATGGTTAGAATGACATTGTGTTTCTATATGTTGTCACCAGGAAGTGGATATAAGCGCCAACTTTTACGAGTTAAACGAAATGATACACTCGTTTGCGGACCACTACGGCGCCCATAACCTGCCGGCGATCGCCATATTAGGCGCCCATTATCTCAACACTGAGTCGAACCCCTATTTCGGGATATTTATGGCTAAAATGTTTGACCATTATGTGAGACATGGATATACATTATTGTTCTTGTGTACATTAATTTTATATTTGCTTCAAATTATCATAAATGTAGTTCTGGGTGCTTTTGCTAATAACATGGTGGACTAGCTCATTTTTATTTGCACTAGAATTGTGGAGTTTAAATAAGAAAATTATCTCATTCAAGACCTTATTATTAGATCGATTATGGATTGTCATTCATGCACTGACACTACAATATTGTAAATATACCGAGATCATTTTTAGCATTTTATAAACCTATTTATTAATCTAATATAGCCTTAAAATTACATTATATTACATCGAGATTTTTGGCAGTAATACTGTTGCTGTTTGTGACAAAGTTTTTCATATTCAATGTATTTAATCAATTAATACTATCGATAACTATCCATAAACCGTATATTGTAATCGACTCACTCGAGGACCTGGAGCTAATCAATGGGTTACAGCCTAAACTATATATGACAACCAGGGAAGTTCAATCTATCCAAGTACAGTATCTCTCTCTCTCTCTCTCTCTCTCTCTCGTGTCAAAAAAATGTGCAAGACTTTTGATAATTTTTTGTACATTAAGTTAATAAATTATAGCTTTTTTTATAAATAATAATTATATTAACGAGAATCTGATATTTGATTAGAAAAATGCAAAACCACTGGAGAGACAAGTCATAGACAAAGCACTGGTTAATAGGGATCAGAATTACCTGGATATGGGCTATGATAAAATGTTCCCCACCATCGACACACTCATGCAGGAGATACTATACGGACAAACACATGTATTGATCTCCTCGTGGTTTGATTCCCGGCTCTTTAAGAACACTAATAATGACGAGAACCGAAAGGCACTTCACATCTCGAGGACAACCTATTTTGATAAGCCGTACGGTTGGGTAACGCACAGGGATTGTGATCCATATGTCACGAAACACTTCAGGAATATGTAAGCATTTGTTTGGAAATAAAATTATATTTTGTTATATTTTCATCATAGAGAGAGAGAGAGAGAGAGAGAGAGAGAGATGTCGATAAACTTCATAAATATTATAAGTATTATAACTATCTTAGATCTTAATAACAAAATTGTCAAATAATTTATTTGAAAATGATCGAGGTATTATGAACCATAGTTATTTTCTAGTATTGTTAGTCTTGTGTTAAATTATGTTAATAACTGTTTAGAATGAAAATTCATTTTATTATTTGTGAACATTAGTTAAAATAATGTAAAAATTATGTTTAGTATTGTAGCGATTGAGGAGCACGGGTTACGCCAGAAATGGATCAAGGTGGCCACACTATTCGCATTGACTACATTTGGCGATATAACCACGATCATTCAACTCAAACAACCCGAGGATGAGTTTAACCCAATGATTTTGGATGAGTTGAAAATAGCCCTAGGTCCCTATTTAGTAGGAATAACACTTGCCTGGATTAGTTTAGTAGCTGAGACTGTGTTTTATAATCTTAATTTTAAACAAAAAATTAGTAGTCGACGTAAAACTCAGTTAATTAAATTGAAAAGTTTGTTTTAAGACATTTGTATAGTATTTATTAGCAATATAATTTTAAGAAAATAACTATAGTAAAATTAATTATGTGAAATAATATTTACTCAATTTCTATGTTACTATTATTATTGATATTATTGTTTAATGTTAGATACGGTTAGATTAATCTCTATTTAATCCATTTGCCGATAAAAATGTATTCAATTTGTATATAAATCAATGATAACAGAGATTTATAAATCAATATAATTTAACATTACCGGTATATCCACTTAAATACACAGTATTTTTAAATCCCTACCCATGTATACTAACATTTGTTAGCACATGGAGTTTATTTCAAAATCCACAAAATCAATTCTTATATAAAAACAATAGTATTAATTATGCCAATAGTTGACACAATTATAGCAATAACTTTCTCCACTAATATTAAATCAGTGATAAGATTTCAATATTTAGCTAAACCTTGCTATCAGTGCCCACACAAAACACAAACTTCAAGTTAATTGAAATAAATAAAATAATGTTTTTGTTTGCGCTGCCAATTCATTGTCATATCATAGATAATTTAATTGTACTAACGGTGCAGGTATGTTTATACTACTGGAGCCCGTGAATAGGTAGGTAACTGTGTAATGATAACTGTATGGGTGGGTAGGGTGTGAGAGATTTCATTTCAAAGACAAATCCACTTATATATTACAAAATATTTTAGCAAATATTAGAAACACAAATAGATTTTATTAATTGATATTTGTTTGCCGTATAGATCTGTAGAAAATATATACACTTATTGACAATAATATTTGGCAGGTTATTAAAAAAAAGTTATTGTAAACAAATCAATAAAACTAATGTCAATATTATTTGGTTTTTTTGTTTTCCGAGAATTTTATTTCATTTGATAATTATTTTTTTTATAAATTCATAAAATAATAATAAAAATTAAATATTTTTTTATTATGAAGCAATTAATCTAATCAATTGAGATGAACACTAAAGTATTTATGAGACAATTAATATATTTAGTAAACCTTTTGCATTATTTGGCGACACTATTGCTGTAATATAACTTTTTTGACTATGATCTAAGCCGTAATTATATATAGGGAAATGGGTTCGCAATTAGGTAGTAGTGGAGCTGTTATCAAGGTATTATACACAGATTAATTAACACGATCACTGGGGTGTTTGTGTGTTAGTCAATGTACTGTAGTGTACTAAAATCCACTAAATGTTCAGTGTCAGTATATTTATTGAAGTACAAAACTTTCAGTACACTTAAATGAACTACATAAGTTGATATATGTTGCATATTTTGGTGGAAATTAAATAATAATTTAAATTACCCTGAGTACATGATTAAAAAATTATGATTTAAGTAACAGTAGCCTACAGTTTATGTTTGTAATTTTCAAATTGCTTACTTTGCATTAATTATCAAGCAATATTTATAATGATTCATTAATAAAATATGCCGATTTCTTATAAAGTTATAAAGTTCTTTAAATTTTATTACCAGTACCTTGGTCATAATAAAATAAATAGATTATTGTTTTAATACGATATTAAAAACTTTTATTTTTCTATTTATCAGTAAATTACAGAAATTTTTATTAATTATTTCTAATGAAAGACAATTTGAAAATCAAAGCAATGATTATAATTATAATAAAAATAAAACAACACTTTTATATCTATAATAAAACACGTAAATATAATATCAATAATAATTACATTTATTATTTAGTCTTAGAGTTAAAATTCTCGCGAATAATAAAACATAAAATAATTAAATTTATATATCTTTTGAATAAAATGTAATATAATTCCTATGAATGTATAGACATATCAATAAAACAATTGTTTAATTAGACTCCTAGTTATCAATAAATAATTAGAAAATGAAATGTAATTTTCATTTCAAAAGCAAAAATAATGTAACTTTAGATAAAATAATATATTATATCATAATTTAGACTTTGAACCAAACAATTAACAGGGTCAAAAGTATGTTTGCAATGAATTTAGGCATAATTGTAGGCATGAATTAAAGCGAATAAAAATCTATATCTCGGTCAATTTGATCAAAGCATAAAGCAATCTATGAACACTGTAGCACATGTAAGTCACGTACACCCCTATCCCCTTTAACCCCTTCCCATTAGATTAGAAATTTTGATAAAAGGTGCTAGTTTGTTCAAATTAAAAACACGCCCCTCCCCCCATTAAAAATATTCTCAAAATTACCCCAAACTCTGTACCCCTCCCCCTACCCCTCCCCTCCCAGTGCTCTTAATAACAAAATAGTCTTGCTCATTTTTGAATCTGGAATCTCTCCATTAAGCTCCGGGTGTTTCCCCTCTTAATCTGCTTCAACGTCTTGAACTTCTCGGCGCTACTCATGGGCTGATCCCCGTCCCCACCACTGCCGGCGCCCACCACACCATTATTGGACCACATCTTCACTTTGTTCTTAAAGCCGGCGAATTCGTTGAACTCGTCCTCCGCCTCCTCGGCCTCGTCGGCGCCGGTAGACGAGTGCCGCGGGTTGTTGTTGCGGTCGCCGTTCGTCTTATGGTAGGTGCCGATCGTGAACGACGACTGGCTGTCCGTTCGCTGGTACTCGTGGCTACCGGTGCGCTGGACGACCGTCTCGTGCGAGGTGTGAGTCGTCTCGACAGTGGTGTAGCTCTGGGCTGACACGTGATTGTCTTCGCTCACCGAATGGTACTTCTCTTCCTCCTCCTCCTCTTCCTCGACCTCCCGTTCCTTGTGGTGGTTCTCCTCGTGGTGGGACTGGTGGTGGACTTGGTACTCATCGGCCTCCCGGTGCTCCACGCGCTCGTTCAGCTGCTCCAGGAAGTCGTCCACAGATGACTCGTGGTGCTGGTGGTGGTGCTCATCAGCGTCGGTATGTTGCGGCTCGTGGTGGTGGTGGTGGTGCTCCTCGACCTCCACGTGCTGCTGATGGTGGTCGGGCTCGTGGGTCTCAGCGGTCACTACATGGACCTCGTGGTCGGAACTGGCGTTACTACTGACCTCATGCTCGTCCCGGTGCTGCTCGTGGTGGGCGGGCTCGGGCACCGGCGGGTGACTACTAGCCCCCTGTGTCTCGAACTCCTTGTCCATCATCTGACTGAGCCGTTCAATAAGCTTCCGTTCCTCGTATTTGATGAAATCCTCGGCCGTATCAGCGCCGGCATCATCACCAGCTCCGCCCGATTGACGTTTGGCGGCCACCGGTTCGTCCAGTGAAGCACTGGTAGGCGTGGCCGGTGTGTGGGTGATCTCCACGTGCTCTGAATGGTGACCGTTGTTCAGGTGATGGTCGCCCTCGTCGGCGAAGCTCACGGAGTGCTTCTCCGTGTTGTAAGTCTCGACACTCGTGGCCATACTGTCCGCACAGGTACTCTGATTATGGGGGCTGGGGTCTAAGCTATAGCTACTACTACTACTGGTGTCGGTGCTGTCGACGGAGTGACTGGTAGTGAATGAGAAAACTTTTTTCACGCAATAAGTAATGAATGTTAGGCTAAAAAATAGCATTCAATTAGTGGTGGGGATGAGTGCCAAACGGTTGGCCAGTGTTTGATGTAATAAAACAAAATGTTTGAGACGTTTTTGTCATACACTGAGACTTAACTGAGCACTGAATTAATGGGCTGGTAGATAGGGGGTTGGTAGATAACGAGCATATAAATTTAAAAACACGTACACTTGTATGAGTGACAAAACTTACACTAATTTACGCCACGACTGTGTAATCAAATTGTCTTTTCATTACACATTACAGTAATAATAATATTATTAGTAATAAGTAATTATAAAAAAATATTTCTTATCATTTCGTGTTTTAAGTGGTTTTTTGATGTTTTAGTATAATGTAGTGAATTGTATGAGTTTTTAACAATAATTATTAATAGCAATTAAAATGCTTTGTAATAATAAACTGACATTTATTTCACTTCTCGTTTTAAGAAAATACTTTTACGACTACTTTACCCTTAATTTTATATTTATATAAGACTAGGAAAAAGGGACAGTAGTGTATGTTAGTTACATAAGTTAGTTAGTATGTCAGGTACCGGTGCTGTGTATGTGTTTTGCACAGTATACAAAATACTTGTAGATAAACCGTGATAAATAGTTTTGTTGTAATAGTTTTACTGTATATTTAATTTCTATTTAATATATTATTGTTTGAATGAGTTCCCCATTCAATTGAATGTTAGAAATCATAGACTGATATCAGAAAAAGTGATTTTTTGTATAGAAATGAAAGTGTAGTTTATTGGTCGACAAACAGTTAAACACACTGTTATTCAATAGCAATGTATGTAAAAATAGCATTTTGTCAATGCTTTCCCTATGAATACAATTCTGTGACTTGTATTCCAAGGCTTTTGAGTGTATTTTTTGTAATATAT